GCCCTATGCTGAGCAAATTACTCTTTACACCTGGTATATACAATGCATTGGAAATGACTGGCCTTTTGCCATCTTTCCTCATAATCAAAACATCACGAATATCTTCAGTTGTTAGAGTATTGTCATTTTTAAATTTCACGAAGTTTTTCATAAAGGATTTTATATTGATAGACCAATCTTTCTTTCCTGACATGTGTGGTGAGCATCCTAAGTCCAGGTATCATTGGTCCTTGAAACTTTCTTCATCTCTTGTTGTGACCATCATTAACATCTCTTTTTCTTCATACTTTTCAAATTTTGCATCATTTTGTTGATTCTTTTGTTTTTTTAGGAAAATCACTAGAATAGTGGTCATACCTCTGACAATTGAAACACTGAATGTGACTTTTGTCAGGTTTTCTTCCACCACCTCTTCCTTTACCACCAATACCACCTTTGCGGTTACTTTGTTATGCGGGTCTTCTCTGCTTCGATACATTTTCTTCTTTCTAGTTTCCTACACTAATCTAATTTTTTTATCCCCATCTACCTTTTTGTCGAACCATTTCCTTTTTCCTTTCTTTTCTCTTGTTAATTGCGCCTGCAAAGTCACATCACTTGTTGACTTGTTTGCATCTTCTTCAACCATTCTTTATTCATGAGATTCAAGAGTCATTTGAAGCTCTTTCTTTGTCATTGTTGAAAAATCTTTTGAATCTTCTATCGCTACTACCATATGGTCAACCTTTGCAGCCAATGACCTTAAGATCTTCGCAACAACTGATCTTGATGTCAATGCTTCTCCACATATCTTGATTTAATTCACTAATTTTGTAACCCTATTAAAGAAATCATGTATGCTCTCACTTTCTTCCATATGAAGCAATTCACACTTTCTTTTGTGAGTTTATAACCTCACATCTTTCACCTTTTCAGCGCCTCCAAATGATTTATCAAAGATTTCCCATGCTTCTTTCACCAATTCTACATCCCTGACCTTTTTAAAATTATTTGGATCAAAGCATTGATGAATCATAAAGAGGTTTTCTAATCTTTTTTCTTCAATTCTTTGTCTGCGGCCTTTTCTTCATCAGTCGCGTTTTCTACAAGCGGCTTCACTCCCTCCTTCACAAGATTCCAAAGATATTGATAGCAAAAAATAGTCTTTATCTACTTGTATCAATTCTCGTAATTTTGATTCTTCAGAATTGGGAGACTTGTCAGAAAGTGCCCATTCGGACGATTCATTGCACTATACTTCCCAAGAATCACACATCCAGTGCTATAGATACCAGATGTTGGAATTACACCAAACCTATGGAGAATTCTAAATCAATATTGATGAACAAGAATAAATCTTTCTAATTAATTACTTCTCTTGTTTTTCACTCTTCACTCAAGTGAATCAACCACACCTTGGTTTCAAGATGATTCTGGTGCAGAACAATTATTGAAGAAGAAAAGAAAAGTTGAATTAGGAAAGAAAATGAAAATTATGGTTTGAGAGAGAAGGGGGGAGAAGAAGAATAATTCTGCAGAGTATCTCTCTGCTTTTAAACTGAAATTTTATTCAATCTTTTTTCTATGCAACTTCATTATTACAACGATAGGATACCTCCCTATTTATAGGCTGAGATTGCTTGCACACTAAGCAATCTCTAACAAACCTAACTAACTCAACTAAAACAAACAAATAAAGTTAAGTCTTAAATTCTCTCGAGATACACTCCTTCGAAAATACTAAATGTTTTGATACTAACAAGCATTTCGAGAACACCTTGATTTTGTCAAGCAACATGCTTCGACACAAGAAATTATACTCTCAACACCCAACACAGTCTCAACGACTAACAGACACAGACAAGAACAAAGGCAAAAACATAAGCGTCGATCAAGGAACTCTTCTAATGGTTAACAAAAGCAAAGATAAATGCTTAAATATAAGTGTCAGATCATAAAACAATTTATCGCATAATGATATAGAAAGTTAATTTCAAGTTACTTATAGTTAGTTAGAACTTTTGATATTATACTTGCACACCTAGGTTATAATGCATACAACTTACTTGTGCTATAAGTACTCCATGTAATGCATCCTTCTCAAATAATAAAGTAAATTTACTTTGTTTATATTATGGTATCAAGATCTCTCTTTTTAAAGAATTCAATTTGATCTTCTTTCTTCAATTGATTTCTTTTTCTGTTGTATTCTTCGTCATAAATTTTAAGAATTTCTCTAGTTCTTGATAAAAACATCGTTTTTTACATTTTCAATTCATCATCTTCTTCTTTTATTTGTCAATGGAACCTCAAAACACCAATTCACAACCAGTTCAACCTAAATTAGACTCAGTCTACTATGTTCACCAAAGCGATGGACCAAATTCAGTTTTAGTCATGCCAAAGCTTGATGGATCCAATTATGTTGGCTAGAATAGATCGATGTGTCATGCTCTTAGATATAAGAAAAAACTATCCATCATTGATCATCAATGCCTATTCTTTCCATAGTTATCTATTTATTTATCTAGTAGATTTTCCTCTTAAATGGTTATGCATGCCTTTGATGATCTATGTGCATAATTCTTGCCATTTTATCTAGTTGTTTATGTTTTTATTTTTTCCGTCTTTTTGATAACGCTAAAGAGGGAGAAGTGTATTCTCAAAAGGAGTAGGGTATACTCTCTATATTCTTCTTGGGGAGTTTAACCACTTCAATTTATCCCTTATTTTTTCTTGTTTTATCCATTTCCCTGAGAGATGCATTGTCTATATAAAATGAGAATAATATGGATATACGTGCTTGCAGGTATAAAGTTTGCAACTAACTATTGACTTCGTTTTTATGCTGAAAATCCTCTTAAGAGAATTTTGGCTTGGATGATAACAAGTTATGTCATCATCAAATATGATCGAGTGATAGCGTTTGTATATTGATTAAGTAATGGTGCTTGACATATTGATCAAGTATGGTGCTTGATACATTGATAAAGTCATAGTACTTGATATGTTGGTTTGAGTGATGGTGCTTGATATATTTATTAAGTGATGGTGCTTGATATGTTTGTTTAAGTGATGAGCTTGAAGATCAAGGTGTTTTCTAATTTGATCATGTAGTGAAGTCTGATATGAAGATGAAGTCTAATATGTTTTGATCAAGATGTGTTGATCAAGATGATTTAATCAAGTTGTGTTGATCAATTTGTGGTGATCATGTGTGCTTAGAGATCAATTTATCAATAACAATCTATGGAGGACAACACCTTGTGTAAAACAACATTCGGTGAAGTTAGAGAAGATCTCTGATCAAGTTGATTGTCTGATGATGGAGTTTATCATAAAGAGTTATCTCAAGTCTCATTAGAAGAATATAACAGGTTCCAGTTTAATGCTAAAGTCAAAGATAATGTGGTAAGGAGTTAGAAGCTTCTGAGTTGTAAAAAAAGAGGAAGTGTGAAAGTTCGCCAAATTTAGATCGAATTGACAGTGTTTGTAAAGGTATAAGTCTAACTCTCGACTCTATTATGGAAAATCACACATGCACTTTGAACCCTTTTAGAAGACTCTCTACTTTTATAAAAATCGCTTAAAATGTTTTTAAAGTCTAACTTATTTATAAGGAAATTGTATGATCAATTAGAAGCATTTTTTACAAAGGTATAATCGAATATAACTAAAAGATAGTCGATTATTTCACTTTGTAACACCTATAATCGATTAGAGCAATCTATTAATTATTGACAACGACTAAAAATCAAAATTTTCTATTTTGGAGTGAAATAATTGATTATGCACGTGAGATAATCCATTATGAGCATTAAAAAACATATGAATTATTTTCATATTTAAGGCATTATTTGTCCTATAAATAGATGACTCCTTTCTCATTTTTCATATACTAGAAATTGTATTTCACATACCTTTCTCTAACTCTCCTCTTTCTCTCTCATTTTCTCACATTTTCCTCAATGCTTTTGAAAATACCTTTCTCTAACTCTCCTCTTTCTCTCTCATTTTCTCACATTTTCCTCAATGCTTTTGAAAATGAAGTATTATATTTGTGAAGGTATTTTTGTCTGGTGTAATAGTATTATTGCAATTTCTCACTAGGAGAAAATTTGTTTTGCTTGTGAGTTAAATCAAGTAAAAATCTATCTTTTTAGTTGTTGAAGTAAACTAATTAAAACCTCGTATTATTTAGGGAGGTCTACGTACTTAAAATTTTTAGTTTGTTTCTGAATTTAATGTGTTGTTAAAAAGCTTTTAATTGGTTGTGGAGGTCTCATACTTAAACTTCATTTTGGTTGGAAAATTAGCCATTGAAAAATTATATTATAAAAGAAGATTCGTGGGCAAAGTCCTCATCATATTAAAAACTCTTAAAAAAAAATTCTAAGAAGATGAACATATCAATTCTTAAATACCAAAACTTTATAATTCTTTATTTCTCTTTTCTTTTAACTCTTTACTTTTTCATTTTTTATTTTCGCTACTTTACAGAACGGTTTCAAACTTTGTTTTTGTAAAAATATTGTTTTAAAAATAAATTTTCAATTCCACACAATTCATTCTTTCTTCTATTGTGTGTTTGGGGAGTGTAAATACAAAGTGATTAGATAAATTTACAGTCCCCAATGTGGGGGCAAAGAGCTTAGGTAAGAAATCTTGGCGATATAGATTCAAAAATACATTATAAATATTGTGGTTACTTTTATTTTTAATATATAACATAATTTATAAATATTAAAATATATACTTTTATCAATTTAATAAAAAAAATAAATGATTTAATATTTTTTTAATAATTTAAAGATATTAGCGGTGAATTGACCGGTGACTTGTTTCATTTCATGCATTTTTCCTTGTGCATTTCCGGATTTACCTCCAAATTTATTTTATGAGGTGCTTGAGAAAATAAATGGGTAGATTAAGAAACTCCCAAAGACAATATACACAATGACATTGATATTACCATTTACATTATCAAAGGGACCAATAATTTCCCCACACAATTAACTAACCTATTCTGGGTTGGAAATTGTGAGCATCACATGAAACATTTCCATTACCAGCTCCCTATCTGCATGCTGGAAAAGGTTATTTATTTCATCATCTTTAACATCATATATTTTACCAAACTCAAATAAAAACGTTAAACACCCTTTCTTTAACTTGTGTAATTGATAAAGCCAGGCCTCGTTTAACATCTCAAGAACATTGCCTGAGTTAATATCTTCAACAAGGCTTTCCTCGCATAAATCTTTCAGATCACTGATGTCATACTTATTAGCTGCGCCGAGTAATGCAAGACAGTGTTTCCGGAAATCTTCGTGTTTGATTGCTCCATACAAGTAACTTAGAAGAGTGGTGCATGATTCGAGTGAGATGTCTTCTATATGAATTGTTGATGACTCTTTTTCCTTCAGGTTGTGATGAAACATGCTTTGAAACACAGGAGAACTCGCGGACAAAACTGCCTTGTGAGCTCTCAATGTACCATTGGAAGTTATAATGGTTAGGTCAGCATTTATAGCCTCGTCGAGCATGCGAGAGAGGCAGTGGAGAGTACTTCTTTGAGCTTTGTTGCATGGCGAATTCCCATCAGATGACCATATAGAACTAGGTTCTCCGCCCTGAGTTCAAAAGAAAAAATCAAAGCATTAAGCAGAAAAACTGATACTAGTGCAGAGGTTTGTTTGTCAAATACGCCTACATTTGTATTGGCATTAGAAAAAGAATAGGAATTATAAACTCACACTCATATGGCATATTTTTAGGTCAAGAAACTCAACATCTATGATGAAGCGACCCGTGAAAGCAGTGTCAACAGGCCAGACAAAGTCATCCTGTGTCCTAAGCAGCCTTTCATAAACTGCATACAAGCAAACAGAAACAACCTGCATCAGCATTTCATAATAATCTTAAAACTTGTATAGGTAATTGTAATAGAAAACTTCTCATTTTCCAATTTGAGGATGCAATATTAAGTTATCCATATTCACTCTTGACACATAAAGGAGATGCAAAAATGACCAAGGAAGATAGGGCAAAATTTCCTAAGGCCGTTACAATCAATACATCCAAGACATATAGAGATTGAATGACACTTAATCAAATACAAAACTCAAAATATCACTCGGCTAACCTTAATTAACGTCTATTAGAGATAGTTAGTTGATCCACGGTTAAAGCTGAATTGTTATGAATCTCTGATTCATCTTTGTTTTTATTGATTCAAAGCTTGAAAGTTTACAACTGAAATAGTGTACAATATGTATGAGAGTTGGAAGTTGGTTGAGTTCTAACAAACTCTAACTAACTCTGACCAAATCCAAATTGTAAATGACCAGTAGCTTAATAAACTAAGAAATTCGACAAATAATACTTGTAATAATAACCTATATAAAGTCACCTGTAAATCACTTAAACAATTTCAATACAATTCCATTTTCTTTATTGATCAAAAGCCAATACACATGTACAAAATTTATCCTTTTTAATACATTTATGCAAATAAAATGTCATATAATGTTATCAGCAACACAAAAAAAAAAGTGTTGGTGAATAGAGTTACCAGGAGAAATAATAAACTTGCGGGATGAACCAGCAACGGAAACTCGGAGAATGAATCTAGCAACGGGTGGGTGTTCCTTAGAAACACGAGAAGGTTCTGGAAAGAGATGTATGGAGAAGAACCTATTCCTTACTATTGTAAAGTGCCTGGAGAATTGGGAAAGAAGAGGAAACAAAGAAAAATTGAAAACCTAAAGCTCGTTTAAATACAAGTGAGTTAGAGATAGAGAGAGAGTTGACACACACGGACCAGTTCCAGATTCCGAGCTTGAAAGGATCAGATTTTTTGTAGGAAGAAGGTCCAAAACTGTCGATTTTCCACTGTGCTAATCTTGCAAGCGTCTCCACCCTATCCGCCATGGTTGGAGTGTTGGAGCGTTGGAGTGTCTCACTAAAACATTCTTCTGTTCATGTCTCTAAGTTAAGAAAGAAAAACGTGAACGCATCCTACTTTTTCCTCTTTTTACTTTATGTGTTTTTTGATATTTCTCTTCTTTGTTCTCAAAAATCTTCTAGTTCTTTTTCTTTTAATTTTTGTTTACTCAAGTTTTTTTTATGTGTTTTTTATATGACAAACTAATATAATTTTTATAAGAATAATTATAATGCACGGTTAGTGTAAAATATTTTACACGGATCACAACTATTCATAAGTGATATTTTATATGTAATTAAATAAAAAGTCAAACATCTACAAAGTATGCTAAAAAGACTCGTGTTTGTAAGTTTTATGGTTTTAGGATTGACAATAATTTTGTTAAAACATGGTTCACAGCAAGATGTTGGGTGTGATGTCCTAACTTGTTGGTCTGTAGACATGTTCTGACAGATGTTGTAACATGTTGTACCAGAACATCAGTACAGACTGTAGTCTTATTCTTGACATATTTGATTTGATTCTGTGAGATTTTTTTTGAATATATCTCACTTTTTCGCAGGTCAAGAAGATTTAATCTGTAACATTTGATTTTATCTCCAACTATTCATAAATTTCTAAAATTGGATGTTAAGACAATTTAGGAAACTTGGGGATTTATTCCAAGATTTAAGGAGATTTTTCTGCATAATTGATGCAGCCCTCAGCGTGTGAATCAAGCAATGTCTGGGTGAAGATTTCGAAGCCTGTGAACTGCTGAGGAGTATTTAAAGAGCAACATAAACCTAATGTTTTCACGACTTTCACTTTTGTAAAAAGAAGGGAGAGTTTTAAAGTCTTAGATTTTGAGAGTCTCTTTAGTGTGACTTTGTAAGTCACCCATGTATCTTTTGATACATTGAGGTAGACTGATTGTAGGTTGTTTATTGTTCACTCTAAAACATTTAAGCAATAGTGTATAGTTCTTAGTTTAAAACTTTTAAGCAAAACTAAGTATTGTAGTTAGAAGAGTGTTCTTCTGTTCAGGTCTGTTGTGGTATTGTCACTGGTTTGTGACTGTTAGAAAGTGAGAGAGAAATCTCATATCTAGAGGGTTTCTAGATAGAAGTTGCACAAGGTAGTGATTAAACGAGAAGTTGTAAACGAGGGAGTTTAGCTTTGAACTAATGTTATCATAGTGAATTTCCTTTTTGACTTGGTAGCCCCCAGATGTAGGTGACGTTGCACCGAACTGGATTAACAATTGACTGTGTCATTTATCATTCTGCAATTTTATTTTGCATATTTTACAGTCTGATATAATTGTTCTATCAAATAGAAGGTGTCGTAACATTTGTCATAAAATTATGTTCTGATGTGAGGACATCAGTATTAACATGTGTTAGTGGCAAAGTTTCAATTGGTATCAGAGCTGACACCCTGGTATGTTTATTGGGTGAGCTCCAGGGAGAATTTTTCTGCTACTTTATGATCAAAGGAAGAGAATTGAGTTTGGCTAACTCTAAAGCTTTGGATGTCATATTCAATGGAGTTTAGAAAGAAAACATTTGTTCAGACTGTTAAAGTCATGTGTTGTAGCCTGAGAGGCTTGGGAATTTCTCAAGTCCACTCTTGAAGGTACGTCTGGTCAGCAAGACACTGAGGTCTCTACTCAAGACTTTTGTCATGAAAGTGTCAACCTTTGAAGAAGAAGATCAAGTCATCATTAGCATAAATGGATCTTTTGGGTCATATTATTTTTGTCTTTAAAATGACAATTTTGAATAGAAGGACAATAGCATGTTTTTTTTGTCTCAAACTCTGTAGAAGCTTATGACCTTGTGAAGGGTTACTCAGTACTTTATGTTACTTAGGAGGCAATTCTATCAGTATTTGAGGGAAGTGGATAGAAGGTTAAAATCATATGTGAAGAACATCATTCCTGACATCTGTAAGAACTGTGATGTTCAAAGTAAAGGCACTTAGTGTCATGTATTTGAAAGTTTTTTTCATATTAGAACAGACGGCCCTACCCATCTCAAGGAGTATCTGAAGGGGTTTCCTATTTATGGGGCTGATGAGGGAAGTGATTCTGATGATGGATTTGTCAAGCCTGTTACTTCCTTGTTTAGAAGGTCACCTTTGGATGTAAACCCCGACATTGAAGAATTATCTCATGATGAGTCGGCTGCTTCTTTAGAGTTTTGTACATCAAGTGTAAATAAGGCTGTCAACAAGAAGGAATATAGAAGGTAAATATTTCCTTTATATTATCTTTAAGGAAAGAATGTTTGTCTACCATTTATAACTTGTAGAATAAGGTGTCTATATTGATCTCCAAACTTGGTATCATGATCAAGTTTGTGGGGATGTTGAACAATTGTTCTGATATGTTGAAGAAGTTCTTCATTTGAGAAGATGTCTGGAAGCCAAAAAGGGATAGCGTTTTCTAGGCCATAACAAGTAAAGAAGAACTCAAGTGAAGAAAAGTTGTTCCCATCAACAGGAAAGCTGAGACAATGATGTTATCCAAATGTCTCAACATCGTGCCTAACATCAGAAATCTCATGCTAAAGGCAGGTTCTTGTGCTAAAGATGTCTCTTCTATGGTAAAGTTAGTATTGTTAGTTTTTTTTGTCTCAAAGGTTCATCTCAGCCTAAAGTAAAGCAATGCCTAAAACTCAAGGAGGGTACAAATTACCTTGTCTCTCATACCCCTCTTAGAACTTCAACAAAACAAGAGTGATATTTTGGTAGTGGGTGTTCCAGACTCATGACTGGAGTAAAGAAGTATCTGATGAACTCTAAGTCTCTTTCTTCCAACTTTGTTACTTCTAATGATGGTGTCAAATGTGAAATTTAAAGGGTTTGAGAACTGGATTTTCTAGTCTTGATGTTGTTTCCATTTTTAGAAGAGTCTCATTTAATGCAGTTGTGTGATCAAGGTCTTAAGGTAGATTTCTTTAAGAATGAACGTTTGATCATTAATGAGATATATGTTGAGGAAGTTAAAAGAGAGTGGCTAGGTTTGTTTACCACGAGAAACTACATGTGCATTCACATGCTTGATGACCATGGAAGATGTAGTTCAGATGTTCCACCAGAAGATGCAACATCTGACTGCTGCAAATGTTCTAGAAGAGGAGCAGACTGAGGTGGAGAAGACTGATGCAAATGTTCTTGTATGGTTCTTATGAGGCCAGTGCAAGGTTCTCTTATGGTTCTTATGAGGCCAGTGCAAGGTGGAGTCTTAGTGGATAGAGGAACATAGGGGAGAAGAGGAGCAGACTGAGGTGGAGAAGACTGATAATGATGATTTGCTTCGTCAGCACTCTAGTATTTTGGTCATCCCCAATGGTACTTGGTAGGGGGAATCTCTTCTTTGTTTGCATAAGGTTTTCTGGTGGTTATGTGATGTTATACATGATGTCTTGACAATGTGATTTTGTGTAGAAGATCTTTTGGTTCTTGTTGTGTGTGAGAGTTTATTTCTCTCTATAAAGTTTTTGTTGTAAGTATCCTTGATCTACCTTTGCAGTTTGTTCCTTTACTGTTGTGTTTAAATTTTGGTTCTCAAGTAGATGCAAATGGATGTTCTTGGGTTGCTATGATGATAGAAAAACCTATGAATATTGACTCCAAAACAAAAGTTAATGGTTCTATCATTATGCAAGAGACGGATATCCAAGCAAATGTTGGAACATCATCGTGTTGCACCCTAATTTTTGACCGTAAGATGCCACCTCTTTTTGCGCATTTTTCTATTATTATTTGACTTTATTCATTATTTATGTGACTAACCAATTTGCGCAGGCACGGTAGCGTCAATTGTAGATCCTTATAGTCAAATACTTTAAGGTGACTGTTAGATCATGGAGGTCCCGGGGTTAGTCTACTGGTCGTCTCCTCAAGGTTTCTCAAGAGTTTCAAGGTCTCTCTAAGGCTTAATTCGTGCACCAAGTTACCTTATCACCTTTGATTTTGTCGTCATTAATGAAGAAAGGCAATTTCGTTGGTAATTTAATACGGCACACATGATAATGACTAAGCATGTTGCGGCCTCATGAAAGATGAACAAGAGAAACAATGGATCGGGTATTTTTGTGTTGACCACTGTTTTAAAACGAGTATTTTAATGGAGTGGTGCTTTGGCTATGTCGATGGCATGTTAACTTACACCGCTTGTACACCGTAAAAGTTTCCAAGCATTTCACTTTGGTACAAATTAAAGCGTGTGAAGTACCTTTTAAAGAAAAGGGCAATTGAGGCATATAAAAGTATTTACATACGGTATGCGTAACCTCAAGGGTCAAAAATTAACATCTCTTCTGAATATCATGTGTTATACATTACATTCCAATCACCAAGATTACAAAGAAAACATAAGGTGCAAAATGACTTGAAAAATAAAGTAAGCTCAAGGCACGAGCTACCCCACACATGACCATGGTGACTTCATTAACATCCTGTCTCGTTTGGTTTTATAGCTATTACATAAAGTAGTACAAACATTTGGCACTAGATGCGAGAATTCAATAAATGTGTCTACAGCCTTCATATATGCTTCGGTTAAGTTGCTCCTCAAGATTGCGAGTCGTAGATCCGTCGCTCGTTACTATTTGGAGATGCTTCCTCCCAGTGGACCCCATTAGGACAATTTGGTCTAAAGGATGCTACTAGTGTGCACCACTTGCGACGTTGACGGAAACCATGCTCACAAGAAACCTGTTCCAAAGAAATAGATTATCTTCAAAGAACTTACGATAGAGTTGTTTCGACCTGACGAGTAATTGAAGCATTTCGTAATGGCAATACCGTTAGAATTTGGTCAGTGGTCTCAGACTTAACTAAGCAATATGGTTCCACTACCGACCGTTGCGTCAACCACCAAGGATGCATACCCCTCCAATTGCTGATGCCGAATACGCCAACACCTGAGACAACAAAAAGATTTGAGTAGAAGTTATGGGAAAACAACATTTTGTTTCTCTACCAGAAGCAGAAC